TGAAGGATAAGATACATATCAAATTATGACTTATCAATTGTCACAAAACAAAATTAATTAATTTAGAGCGTTCTTTTTTATCAGAATCTTTAACAGATGATTATAGAATGTGATGAAAACTCTTGCAGAAATTGCAATCCACATTCAATAAAAAGATGAATGATAGTGGTATTTTGAATATAAGAGTTAAAATAGACAGTTGATTTAATAAATTAATTTAAATATTAAATAAAAGTTGTTAAATTTAATTCATTCATTTAAATTTTTATCGATCTAACTGTATTCAATCAATATTTAACCGATAAATCATTTTCGTAAAACACAAAATATTAAAAGTACACTGATGTGCCATCAAAATGATGGTTCATGGGACAATCTTCTTAAAACTATGAAAGACTAAATTGAGTATTTTTGGACTTACAATAGCTTAGAATATTTTTCTTATTTTTAAATTTTATTCTTGTGATAATTTAAGACTACTTTTTAAATTTTGGATTTATAATGGTCCTAATGGATTATTACTATATTTGTAAGGAATTACTTAATAGATACTACTCTTTTTAACTAAGCATGCCACTTAAAATATGCATTTGAAATGTTAACCATCTGATCGATCTTCATCTGAAGTCTGAACCACAAGCAGTTGTACAGATTGTTGATAGTTGGGTGTAAATGTTCTTGCCACGATCATGGAACATAATTATGATAGTGATTGAATGCAACATTGTAGGATGTTTTAGGCATGAAATCTATTAGTGTAATGATTAACCAACATATCCACCCGTGTGCTTGTATAAATAAAGCTAATTTTATTTTATATTTGATTAGAAATAAATAAGTAAATTTGTACACAATTGTGGTTGGGGTTAATATTATTTAGGTTAAAATACTTTATAGGTATTATATTTTTAATTACTTTATCTTTTAATTTTTATATTTTAAAAATATATTTTTGTAGTTTTTATATTTATTTCTTTCAATTTTTTTAATTTCTATAATTTAAGATGAATCTTTTTAGTTCCTATTTTTTAATCATTTTAGTCTCTATTACTAATTTTTTATAACACTATTTATTTTTTCTAGGTAAAGATCTTCAATTTTGTGAGGATAAAAAAGAGGGTGTCTCAACAATGGTGTTGCAAGTGAGGATACATAAGAAACTTGAAACGTCGAAATGTCCAATTTAGAGTAACTCAAACAAAATAACTTTGACATTAGATAAAAAAAATAAATTAATAAGTTTATTACGTCAACACAAAAAAGACAATATTACAAAAATAATAATAATAACAGCAACTAAAACAATTAAAAAACAGTAAATATGGAGATTAAAAGGACTTATCTTAAATTATAAGAACTTAAAATGATTAAAAAAATAAATAAATAACTAAAAATATATATTTTGAATTATTGACACTAAAAGATAAAGTAAATAAAATTATAAGGACTAAAAAATATTTTAACCAATTATTTATTAGGATAAAGTTTTTTTACCAATTTAAAATAAATTTAATTATGTTAATTTTTTAATAATCTTTTGACATTATTAACTATATATATTCATATAATTATGACTCTTTACTATTAATTATTTCTGAAACAAAATTAATCATGTTTACAACATATAGTGAAACACGTATGGTAATTGATAATCTCATAACACTATTAATCACATGTGAAGAAAAATTAATCATCATTCAAGAACCTTGCGATACTATAAATCACATATTGTGAAAAATAACAAGTACAAATAAGAAGAAATATTGAATTGTAAGTGATTTAAAAAAATTTCATGAAAATAAAATTTATGTAACCACAAATATAGAACCTTGAAAGGATAAGACATGAGCTACAAGGATAAAGGGAGATAGCACACAAATATTTTACACTGATTCACTTTCTAACCCAAAGTTCAGTGTCTTTAATCTTGAAGAATTTCACTAACCATGGTAGATACAACTAAAGTATTCTCAATCCCTCTCCAAGCTATACAACTAGTATCATACAAATATTCTAAAAGTAATTATGTTTTTGAATATAAACTCTAAAAGTCTATTTTATTCTTTATCCATTTCAATCATTAAGGATAGATTCTCTTTTGATTCATTAAGAAACATGAATATACTAACACGAATCTATGGTTTCTTTCACGGGGTATATGTATTGTAGAACTCAAAAACATTTTGCATAGAGAACATAATATACTTCTTTGTCATTAAGCATTTTTGAAAAAGGTAGAAAACATTAACTTGTTATAAGAGGATAACGAGACTATGTCCAACACTTTTGGAAGTTCTAAAGTGTTTTTTTTTTTCTTTATGTTTATATAGGAACGAATTTTGGACTCCTTTATTGTTAAACCTCGCATTGGACACACTTTGTCGTAAAAACTCGTATTGGACTCCTTGTTGTAGAAACATGTATTGGACACTTCATTGTGAAATAGTTGAACGTTTTGTTGCAACTTTATTGTAAAAAGGTTAAACCTTTGAATGTGTTTTCAATTAAAAATATTTTGTTGTGTAGACCAAGAACTTCTTAATATGTTATACTAGACTTTTTCATAAATTTCAATAGCCTTTGCTAAACAAATTGAGAGTCAAACGTTTTATTCTAAGTTCTAACAATTAGTAATTATATATAATTAAGTTAATATATTCTTAACTATTTATGAAACAAAAATAACCATATTTTTACACTTAGTTAACTGAGTATGTTAGGCGGACGCTAGGTGTATAAATCCCGGATATAAATTACTCTTTTTCCACTCTGTTAGTAACTAAAATTATTATATGGATGAAGAAAAAAAAATATTTTTTACTGAGAAAATAACATTTTAAAGTTTACAAAAATAATACGTTAGATTTAGATTTAATAATATACTTTATTTTATGCTTCAAATTAATAATTTTTCATTTCTATTTTTATCCTTAAATTTCAATCAAACCAAAAATTGAATCAAATGTTAGGTAAGTCTTGCTTTTCTAGAAAAATTGAATTTTGAATAAAATCTGCTAGTGGCAAGTTTAAAAAACAAAAAGTTTAGAAAAAGTGTATGATATAATAATAATAATAATAATAATAATAAAAAGACTATTACAACCGTTGTATATAAAAAAGAAAGAATAAAATATAGTGGTTGAAAACATAAGGAAAAGGTAGCATTGAATTCCTATTATGCTTTCCTCTTTCTTGTGCTGCATAAGTCAAATGTTGCCTTCAAATTTAATCATCACTTTTTCAGTTGAAAATTAAGTGACAATCACGGATCACTACAAAACTTTTACCAATCTTTTGAAAAGTTGCTTTCTACTTATAGAGAAAGAATAGAAAACCAATAATGACACCAACACCACCGAAGAAATTCCTGGGCTATGTTTGATTAAAAAAGTGGTAACGTACTTTTGATAATTCCAATCCACACTCCCAAATGCTAAAGCACAAAATGAAAAAGAAAAGTTTGTTGCTTTGAAAATAAAAGTTCTTTTGTGGCCGTCCAACATTTAAACATACACTAATCTTGTTAAATTTTTATGGCCAAGCTGCTCCAGTGCTGTGCACTAGAATATAGGGCCTGTTTGAATAATTTTGATCCGAATTTTTGCTTCCTAAAAGTACTTCTGGAAAATTTTATTCAAACAGACTCATAGTAAACTATAAAAATCCATGCCAATGATAGTAACTTACAACCGAAAAAGTTAAGGATGAAGGGTTTATTTCCTACAAAACCCAAGAGTATGCAACAATAATTTACACTTGAAATCCATAGAACCTTCCTCTGTAGCACGGTCTAACAATAGAAATCCAAAGGTCTACAGAACAACCGTACTTTTATGCTGTCCTATGTTGAACTTGAGGCTGTCAAACATTCCATGGCAGCCTATACGCATACATTCAATTGCTTCCTCATATGGCTTATTTTAAATGACTGATTATCCACATAACTCATGCTTGCATATAATAAGCAAAAAGCAATTGTCTAAGAAAAGAATCACATTAACAACAGAAGCCACCACTAGACTGTTGGTTTTGTTTTGTACATTAGGCCTCTAAATAGTACATCACCTGTGAGGAGCAGATGTATGCGGCATAGGGTACGTCACAGGGCCCATGTTCACCGGTGCACCGGGTACAACTGCACCGGAAACCGGGGCCCGGACACCATATGCCATGTGTGGAGGAGCAGGAAGATTCACTGGGGTGCCAACAGCAGATACTAAGGGTCCTCCTATAGGTTGTCCAATGGTAGGAGCAGCATATATTCCAACACCAGGCACCCCAGTTGATGCTGTAGTGGCTTGTTTTGCTGCTTTGGAAGTAGAATTTCCGGCAGAACCATTCGTTTGACCGGTAATCGGTCCTTGAGGCGCTGAAATGTCTCCATTGTTAACACTGGTGATATCATGTATGCTGGATCGCCTTCTATCTTTGTTCATCGAGTTCAAACGAATGAAGTATTTCTGGGCATGGCTAGCTACTTGAGTAGGTGTTCTTGTTACCACAAAGTTCCTTGATATGGGGCCCGGACACCATATGCCATGTGTGGAGGAGCAGGAAGATTCACTGGGGTGCCAACAGCAGATACTAAGGGTCCTCCTATAGGTTGTCCAATGGTAGGAGCAGCATATATTCCAACACCAGGCACCCCAGTTGATGCTGTAGTGGCTTGTTTTGCTGCTTTGGAAGTAGAATTTCCGGCAGAACCATTCGTTTGACCGGTAATCGGTCCTTGAGGCGCTGAAATGTCTCCATTGTTAACACTGGTGATATCATGTATGCTGGATCGCCTTCTATCTTTGTTCATCGAGTTCAAACGAATGAAGTATTTCTGGGCATGGCTAGCTACTTGAGTAGGTGTTCTTGTTACCACAAAGTTCCTTGATATGCTTCGCCAGTCACCTTTTCCATACTTTTCCAAGCCCAGAAGAAATAACCTGTTCAACCAAATTTGAAATTTTAAAACTAAATAATGCTTAGCATGAGGATGCATCTATGTGACATCCTAAAAAGAGGCATTAAACAGCAATAAGTAACCATAAATTGCAAAATCCAGTAATCCACACACTGATGCAATCACATATGTATTAAAATCAGTAGCTAGCTCTGAGAATTCTGAAAGGCAGAGGTATCATCAGTAATGGCTTTTCTTCTTGTTAAAACTCGCATGAAAAATGTTACAGATGTCCTGTTGTAAACTTGTAATCCTAGGCAAGGGCAAACATATCACCATAATAAGTGATCTTGATCTAGGTTTCAGAAGAAAACCTCAAGCCACCATGAAAGCACAATTTGTAGGCTCCAGGATTATCTGATAGAAAATAGAACAGAAAGAAATGGAGAAAAGCTTTTATTTACAAAAAAAGAACAAATGGTTCCCAGGACTTTCAAGAGGCCTAGACTCTCATAACAATCTGAATTCCCTCACAAATCACAAAAAATTTCCCTCTCAACCCTTTTTTTCTTATTTAAAGGCAACATGACTCATTTCTCTAATTATCTGAGCCCCCAACTAATTCTAATTATTCTACTATGTAACTAACTATGGGGGTTACCCAATCTCAATCTTCACACCCTGGAATTTTCGATCATATTTCTTTCTTTTGTTTTTGTTTTATTGGTAATATCAGATAATAAAAAATGCATAGTTTTTAGCAGGAAGGAAACATGGTCAGAAGCTCATTCCCTCTTTAGCGTAAAACAAATTTAGGATGGGAGACCATAGTTTTTGGCTATAGAAAAACTGGGTTAGCACATTGCCGACAGGAATTATTTTATGTTTTTATGTGGGACGAGAAATGACACAACAGGCATAAAATTGACTAGGAACAGAATTTATAATTGAGTTGTGATAAACAATATGCATCAATAATCGCTGCATGAATCTAAGTTTTGTTACATGACTATTTTAAAGTCTTTATAATTATGCTGATATGAAGTAGGGATATAGTGTTCAGAAATCGCACAAGCTTTAGATTTGACATAAGGCAACAAGAAACGGAAAACATAACTAATTTGGAAGAACCAAGAGATAGTACCAGGACTAATAAGTTATAACCAAAGTTACAAGCCTACTTGAGAGCTTATTTACAATACAATAAAAAAAATCATAATGCACAACACACACACACATGTGGACAAAACTTATATCCAGTAAGTTATATTATTGACTAAGTTTTTAAATTAAACCGTGACAGACATTTTCCTAAAATTCCACAACATACCCTTGATGGAGGCTAATTTAATGTCGGAAAAGAACCCCGGTGTCATTGTTTGATTTGAGAATTTAATGATAGTGGTATAAGGAACTTGCCCTATAGATTTAAACTAAGGCAACAAGAAAAGGGAACCCAGAGGTTGAGTAGGAAGACAACCAAGAGATGGTACCTGGAGTAATAACCAAGGAGTTGCATGCCTACTAGTGAACTTAGATACCATACAATAAAAACAACACATCAACATCATAACATAATCATACTACAAAAAAGAAATAATGAGAATGCATTGATATTTGTGAAGGGACATTAACACTATTTGGTAGGTGAGTCACAGAAACCGGATAAAAATGGAAGATAAACAGAATTTGTTGATTGATTATATCCCTACAAAGAATTCCCTGGATATTCAAGAGATTCTGGCCGTCTACCTAGTCCCAATTCTATTTCACTAAATGACTGACTCTTCTCGAATCCTCTACCTATTTATAGGCTACTACTGCTATGCTAATATAAACCCACGCTTAATGGGCCTAATCTGTTGGAGGCCCATTCTGCTATTTACTAATATTAGTAATATAATTAACTGACCTATCAGTAAGAAATGGCCATGAAATTGAATGAAGGTGGAAATAGAGATAATGCAAAAGAATTGGTGTTGTTTGGTAAAGGTGAAATAGAGAAGAGAAATAAAAAATTTAGTGAGTCCAACTAAAAAATATTTCCACGCAGATGAGAAGGGAAATGGAGAAGAAATTAAGACATCCCACATACGATCAGCTTTCCAGCCAAAAGTTCACTGAAAACTCTGTTTAGTCGATTAAAAGCAAACTTTAATCAATTAACTTAACATTCTAATTTAATAGATTAAAATGCATTTTTTTTATTCTTTTCTTATTTCTTCAATTCTTCTCCATTTCTCTTAAACTAGACACTCTAAAATCCACTCTATTTCTCACCTATTTCCATTACTCTCTTAAACTAGACTTTAACCAATTAACTTAACATTATAATTTAACCAATGAAAATGCATTTTTTTTTTTATTCTTTTCTTATTTCTTCTCCGTTTCTCTTAAGTTAGACACTCTTAAATCCCCTCTATCACCTATTTCCATTACTCTATTTCTCTCTTTCCTATATACACTATATTTTCCACCTCTTTCTTTCCATCCTACCAAACAGACCCTAGCTAAGAGTGCATCTTTTTCTGCCAGTAGAAGGTGCATCCTTTTAGCAATTAAATGAGCAAAAAAATGATAGTGACGTTGCTACTAATATGAGAAGCCCAAGAAAGATAAACTTAAGTGACTTAAACACTAGCTGAAATTAAGTGACCAAAAGTAAGCATCTTTTGCATACTTAAAATCTAACTAATCCCACACGTTATGTTGCCATACCTTGGAAAATTTTGACACTAAAAGCCAACAAAAGGATGGAAAATTGTCATAGACATAGTTTTGATACTAAACAATCAGAATAATTTAAGGAATAAGTACTAACACCAGAGTCCTTGTTCAATCATTTTTAAATGTCAAAGAATCTTAAAGAACGCAATCAATTGTGAATAACAAAATTAAATTATAGCCACAAATATAGGCCTAATAGCAAATATACTTCCTACACGAGCAAAAGGATGACAGCAATCAGATTTTCAATTTAGCTACAGACAATATGATCAAATATTATCATTATAGCACATGTGGCTTTTAAAGAACCACAAATGTAATGGCAGCAGATTACATCAGTTAAGAATCTTGATATAGGAGAGAGATAGAGTATCATAAGCTTGGATTTACCAATATCAATAGTGTTTACAAAACAACCAAATGCTTGTCCAATACAAACTTAAAGCATACAAGGCTTTAACAAATCCTAGTTTTTGAGGTTAAAATAAATTCTATTTTTCTTATGTGCTACATTTCTTGTTAAATCCAAGACAAACCATAGGAGTCTTTAGGAAATGAGTTAAAAAAAAACAAAAGAAAAACAATTAACACAATTTTCTAGCCAAACACTTAAAGGTCAATAGTGTAATTAATCCAAAATTTAATGCAGACAAGATTTCTTAACATATAAAGAATTTGATTTTGCAAGGTCTGTAACTTCATTCTATAGGCTCAACAAAAGCACAATTCCTTACCAACTACAGCTGAAGAACAGATTTTACCCAGGGTTGCAATGCAAAAGAGCTTATACAGAAAGTCCAATGCGAGGCTGTGGTTATTATGGTACTCTCAGAAATAAAAACTTTTAAGACATTTGTCAGTACTCTAAGAACCATAAACTGGAGAACAGAAAATAGATAAACCAAATCAACGTCACAGCCCATAGGCTTTGTGGCATATGGTGTATTTGATGTGCTCACCACACGAGGTTCAATCCTAAATCCTAATGCACCAATTCCCTTTCCTTCCCCTCTAGGCATCCTTGTGGGGGATCTCCCTGGCTTCACCCAAATAGTGGGACCTCCCCTAGGCCCCAAACTCACCTTAAGTCACAAAAAAGTAATCCTTCTTTTCTTTAAACAGGAAATAAGTAGGACAAAGGCTAAGCATCACCCTAATCCTTGTGACATACAACTAGATAGAATAGAAGTACAAGGAAATGAACCATGCCTTATCGCACAACTTAAATTAAAAACAAAGGAAAGAAAGTATAAGAAGAAAATGAGAAACATGGAAGGCAAATCTTCTAACACTGAGAAAAAATTTGATATTGGAGCAATTAAATTATCTTCCATGTACCCAATTTAGATCCAAAATCATAATTTTTCAAAACTCCAATTAAACACAATATCTTTAATAAGCCCCCATCCATTGAATGCTACTTTCAAATTCACACAAGTATGCATTTGATACATACACTTGAAGAGCTAAGCCATCCAAAAGACAAACAATTCACCAAATGACAACAGCATCTCAACAATATATCCAAAGTGCTTCCCATATCGGGTGGCACAGAACTACAGAAGATCAGAAGGAATATATAAGAATGTGTGAAGATTTGAAGAAATAATATTATGAAGCTTCACCTCCCAAAGAGTTAGAATAACAATGAAATAAGCTAAGAACAAGCAGATAGAGATGATGACAAACACAAGGGCATTGCTACCCAATTTTTAACCAGAAATTGCTTGTTTATAGTATTCAGTTTCCAAGACGATAGTAAACCAGAAACATATAACTATGGCATCTCTAAAACATGAATCCACATGTACACAGTCACATGTGCAGAATAGAACACTGGATAGAAAGACCATATCAACTATAAAAGGTCAGGCCTTTATACCTAGAAGACATGCACTGCATTCTGACTAAAATGAAAAAAAAAGGACCAAAAATTTACACTCAATAGATTGTTTATGGTGATATGACAAAGCCAATTTGTTCTCAATGAAAAGAAATAAACTACATATCAATTTTACAGATTTGTTTCCGATGTCAATACAAACCATCACTATTTTAACCCTGTAATAGTATCAGCAACAAAATCAAGAATTATTTTGCTCATTCTTATTGGTTGAGTTAATAATTACTTGTAGGAGTCCAAAAGTAAAACCCAGATATCATGTTTTTAATATGAAGATAAGTCAGTTACTGCACTGTTTATCAAGACTCTTGTGTAAAATAGTTATATATATATATATATATATACAGACTCTCTATCTCCATTTTCCAGTCCCATCTAATCCATTAAATGATAACACACAAATTTTGTGTCCTCGTTCAAATAATCTCTGTTCAAACTACAATGTAAACTGAAATTTTGTCCAAGAAAGAATTTGCAGTTACTTCAAATTGGCAACAACATTACAGTCCAGGCCTCATGGCACTTTTAAATCCTTCACTAGCACTGTTTAATTACTCCAACCATGAACCGTATAGCAGAAACAGCGCCAAAATTATATAAACAAACAAATTGTATGGGCATGGGAAGAAAAGTGACTAACATTGCTGAAGCTTACAAGAAGAACTTCATTTCAAAAGCATTCTACTAAATGCAAACTCTATCAACAATTTTGGCTCAAGGAAATAATTTTGCAATCTTCCTTTTGTGAAATCTTAAATTAGGATATTCATATTCCTATTATTTGTAATCTTTCTTACCTTGAGGCAATCTACAAAACCCATCTTGTAAAACCTATCATCCTCTATTTAGTCTTCTAGCAACTAACTAATTTCTGGCATTTTTTACAATGAAAGTGGCCATTAAGGGTTATGATGCCCTACAGCTGCACTATGCCTCCTGCCCTCCTCTCATAGACTCTCCTAATAGAGTAATAGGAGGTCTATTCATATCAACCAACCCCTTCATATCAAAAAAAAATTATAACCCTGAAAATATCTTTAACTTACAAGGGACTCAAAGAACGTGCAACTAAAATTAGGCCCAAATAAGTATATGGAGCCAGATTAAATACAATGGCATTTTCATTGTTCCTTGTGGCTTTGACTACAAGGACTTGTGTTGTGTACTTCAGATGGGAAGTTAGAAACGGAGTAAGTTACCCACTTACCAATACCATATAGCATAGCTATCAATCTCAAAACTCAAATAACAACACATAGCAACTGACACCAAAAATGCTACAGCTGTAAAGCACATAGCAACATGGCCCTACTGTATTTTATTTGGATTATACAATTTATACTGCATACATATAGATGCTGGAAATAAAACTAGTAAAAATTTATGATTTATCCATAATTAACAAGTCATAGGGTCTTAAGCAAAACATACAAGTAAAAATACCAATGCCAATAGAAAAGGCTTAGTAAAAGAACAAAGGCGGCCAAAAAGTTGTATGGGAACAGAGACAAAATGCAGCCAGCAACTGAAGAGAATGCTAGAAAATGGCTGGAAAAAAGAGTGTCTCTAACAACAGTGAATGGGCATCCTTCAGAGTTGAGAAAAGGTGACTCTGTTTGAAACAGAAGGTGGGAATTGTGCAAAAGCCCTGGCTTTTTGCTTAAGGCCTGAGAAGGGAGTAAAATCCTCATTTTCACCCCCAAAATCATCACCCTAACAGGGACAAAAAGGGTATTTGATTCCAATTGGCATAGTGCCACTCTAGCACACTATTTTGCTAGCTATTTCAGCCACAATGGTCATGAAAGAAAAATGCTCCGTGAGGAGTTTCCAGTAATGGCCAAGGGCCATCCAGGCCACTATTGCTTGCTATTAATAACAATCCCATATAATTAAATGTATTTTCTTAGGCAAGACTTGAAGGATGTATTACTTAACTTTTCCTATTTCAATGAAATCTGCAACTCTACACAATTTATTAAGGTTTTGCTGGCCACCTTTATGTTTCTTCCCATGGTCAATCTATTCTATCTAGTACACATTTCAAACTCATCACCACAAATATAAGCTAAAGACAAACAACAATAGCTTGAGCACTTGATATTATGAAGAGGTACTACAAATAATTGGTCCAGTCTGGCAGAACAAAATCAAGTAAAATCTCAAAATAATGCATTTTCCACGCCATAGCAAAACTATGAGGCCTTGGCTATCTTCTCCCCTTGCCTAACCAAAACCTAATCCACATAAACTATTCATATCCATATATGGATGCAGGATACTATTCACATTTGTGGTTTGACAAAACAAGAATTATAAGTGTATGTTAGATCTTTTTAAGATCTCATACCCTCAGATCATAAAGTTAATCTTAAATCTAGACCAAGATTGTTAAATTGAAGATTGTAGGATCATCTCCACGAAGTGTAACATGTAAGCTTATTGGTAGACTTGTATCTACAGTCTACTGCAGTAATATGAAATTCTTGAAAGCTATGATCAAAAGACAAACTGTTACAAGCACAACAAATTGACATAATCCAAACATATGACATGTCATCCAATGAAGATATGCAAAGTATGTCAACCAGGAAATAAGAACCAAATAACATAAATCAGTGCCGCAGCAAAGTACTTTCATGGAACATCCTTAAATTCAAATCATAAGTTTTCTCTTTCATAAATTAATGTCTTTGAAGATGTTCCACTGAAGATCAAAAATAACTATACTCTCATTCAAAGACAGTTTAGGTTCCTATCCTGGTAAAGGAAAATGTTGAATAGAAAAAGAAATGAATAACATAGTTGGAAAATAAAAGGATGACTATTAACATAACACAATTAACACATCGGAACAGACACATTTATGAGACATAATTACTCTAAATTATTGCTTTGGTAACTGATACAAATATGGAAAATGAGCTGTCATGGTAGTAATCGTGCAAACCTGGGCATATTATGAATATAGACAATGTGACAAACCACATCAAAGGAAATAACCAATGCTGTTAAATTTGCGATTTGGATCATAAGATCGCATGATCTCACAATCCCGCTGCCCTGTCCTAGTCTAGATCGCACCTAAAATCATAAATAAGAAAGATCGTAGTGAAATCCTAAGATTGTGGGAGTTTGTCAATCTTTAAATTGGATAATTTTGGGTTGGGTTATGCAACCCGGTTCGGTTCATATAAACCGACATTTTTAACACATGTTTGTGCCCTAAATTGTGACTATTGCTTTCCAAAACCAACCCTAATCTTGTTCAAGCCATTTGCATCTATGCCAAAGACCTTAGCAGGTTACAGCATCTTGTTCATCTCTAGTTCTGATCCGTTGTTCACTTATGCCATCTCTCTCCCACATCTTCCTTGTTAATAGTCCCTACCATTTCTGCACACCCATATATGTAAGCATGAAATGGTAGTTACACACATACACATGCCCCCGTGCACCCACACACCTACGTGTGCGCATATATAGTAGTATCGATGAGGGACATACTCAATTCCCTTCCCCTATGGTCAGGAATTTGGACTGTCATTCTCCGTTCCCCCACTTCATTTGAGGTTCAGTCCTTCCCCAAATCACACCTCTATCTCGTTGATTCTTGCACATCTTTGTACATCGCATGATCTCACAATCCTGCTGCCCTTTCCCAACCTGGATTGCACCTAAAATCAGAAATAGGTAGATCATAGTGAAATCGTAAAACACTTTGTGAGTTTGTTAATCTTGAAATTGGAGAATTTTGGGTCAGGTTGCGCACCCTGGTTCACATAAACTCGTAGCTTTAACCCATGTTTGTGCTCTAAATTGTGACTTTTGCTTTCCAAAACTGACTCTATCTCTTGTTCAAGCCCCTGCGCAGGATACAACATCTTGTTCATCTCTAGTTCTGAACTGTCGTTCATCCATGTCATCTCTCTCACATATCTGTTTGTCTTGAACTGTCCTTCCGCATCTCTCTTTTGCTGTCTAGCTGATTCCCTGCATATCTTTGTACATCTTCCCTGTCTCTTGTGTTGGTTTAGTGTTTTGTTGTGCTGGAACAAAATCAGGAGTTCTTCCAAACAATGTTATCAAATAACCATTACGGTGCTGGCATAAAGGTATAAGATGGTGTTTTTGGACCCCTCCACATGGCGCTGTCTTCCATATCTGTCATGGCTTCATGAGGGTTTGCAACACTAAACTTCCCTTCACCCTTTTTATCTTCTCTTGTCCTCCCTTGTGAAGCTCCTAAGTTGCAGCCAAACAACTCCAGCAAACCTTCTCAATCCACCACCGATGCCGGCAACCTGAACTCAGGAAAGCTTTTCCAGCAAACAAATCTGGTGTGACCCATGACAGTTTTGTTTTTCTTCTTCCTTCCATTTTTTTTATCTGTTTGTTTTTCATATTTTCTTCATTTATTTAAATGTTCCTCATTTCCTTTTGTCTTTTTGTGTTTTTCCTCTTCTTATCCTCTGTGTGACTGTTCTCTTTTTTCTGTTCAATGTTTTTGAGCTCTGTTTCTCTTGTTAACTTTTATTTTTGCTTTAATGTTGTTATTTATAGAGTTCTTTTTCATATTTTCTCTCTCTTGCTGTATTAGTATTCAGTATAATTTTACATTATGGTGAGATCTTACAATCTTGCAACTGTCCTCCCAATCCTAAGTAGGATCTTGATCTTTGACAACATTGGAAATAACAGTTGATAATCATAATGCCTGTTAAAACGGAACTAGCAGAGAGCAAAACTGGACCAAAACTCAATTCAGCTTAGATATTCCCCATACGCCCCCTGTTTTTGTCACATCCGCCTCACTTAAAACTGTAAGTATTCTAAGGAGTACCCGATTCCATGCCATGGTGTAGTGCAAGAATTTTGTAAGATAATTATTAGTTAGTGTAGTACAGATAATTGTCAAAAAAATATGATATTTACAAAAAGCTGCACAAGAATTTTTTGAGGTGCATAAGCAAATTATGACTCAATATATCATGATGTTCATTGCAAAGGATAGGAAATAGAGTCCACAACTAGATACAACTAGAACTAACCACAAAAATATATGTTTAAACATCATAAACTTGAGATGAAAACAATAACCATTTAAATGTAACCTATACTAGCATATATAGGTTTTTCCAAAATATACAACTATACAAGGCATAAGAAATAACCAACTTGCCTGTGTTCATCCTCTGTCCAAGCAATCCCCTTTCGCCGTTCCTGATCTGATCTTGAAGGCTTATTTCCATGATTAGATTCACTGTTATAATTTCCAAGACCACTACCTTTCTTGCCAGCTCCTTCATCACTAGCATGGCTTGCTGAACCCTCTGAAGAAGAATTATAGGATGGTAGAGGCACACAACCGGATTCAATCTGGTTAATATCCTCAGCCAAGAGCTCATAATGCTGTTTGATATCTTCTATAGTCTTCCCCGGCACATCAGCCGCAATCTTCTCCCATCGATCTGAAGCATCCTCCGGATAAGTTGCCAACGCATTTTCAAATGCTTTATCCTGCTCTCTGCTCCACTCAGAGCTACTATCCACTTCATCCACAGTCATCTAGTCTTGTTTGAAGCAACTACAGAATTTTATTAGAAGGAGAGAGGTTTCTACCTAACTGCTCTAAATCTAGGTTAAGGCCATCTTATATACCACAAACTCTGATTTTTCCAACGGCGAGTACCACATATATTAACCTTGCTGCCATGCTATAAACTTGGGGAGCAGATGTGTTGGACTACAAGGTGCAACCTCATGTGCAGAAAATTGCAGGAAGCTGAACAGAGTTCAATACCAACGGAACCAAAAACTCTTGTGAGGTATGTGAAATTTCAAAGGTTATATTCTTCAAGTTTCGGAAAACCAGACACTTGTGAATTTCTGACCTACTAATGAATGAAAAGGGCAAAATAGATCAGTTAGAATATGAAAAATATCCAAGTCTGACAACCATAAAATCACCGATGCAATACATGGCAGTTTGAGGGGAGTGAAATTTAGAAATTAATGTGAGGGGCAGTAAAAGAAATCAATGTAATTACCGGCTAGGATTTCAGATTGAGAAAGAGACCTTTCAGAAACAAACAAAGAAGGAAGAATAGATAAGACTACAAGGGAAAGCAAAGGGCATTCAAAAATAGCTATTTCCCATTCAATAAAAAACAAACTTCAGTTTACCATAGCCCTACTGATAACAACAGTTTTAACAGCACAGGCCCACACGTATAACTACTGTAAAGCTCATTTTCACTGAACACACTCAACATCATATTTTGTTTTCTAACCATGCCATGTAACAGACAGTAATTCATAACCCAAAGTCCAAAACCTTTTAACCCAGAAGACAATTACAAAGTAGTAACTAACTACGCATCAAGGCCTCAGAGTCAGTGAGACTTCTAAGGTTAAAATCTCAAAAAAGTTAAAAAAGAAAAGGCTGTACGAATATACACAGTGATTAACAATTTGGTTCAAAGTCTTTTTCCCAGACTTGAAGATAATAAAACCACCTTGTACTCGAATACAAGATCCAATAAATGTTCTTATTTCTTAATCTCAAAAGTTTTGACCTAACAACTTAACAGAAGCGAGAAACCAACCTCATTAACATCAAATGAATTACTCTCAACTGTAGATTCCATTCAGTAGGTGTGTGATAATGGTGTTATCAGACTCAATTGTATTAGTAACTAATCACCACTTTAAAAGACTGGTTAATCAAATAAAAAAGAAGAAAAAAAATGGATGCATGAAGTCACAGGCACTGTCAAGCTTCTGACACACTAACCAACCAACAATAAAAAGATTTCTTTCACGCCACCTAACATATTACATTCACAGCAAGTAAAACCTAATTCTGAGTCTGACAGTAAAAGAGAAATTCACCCTCCAATTTTTTACCAAAAATCTTTTAAAAAAATAAAACAAAAGCCATGGAAGGCATTTCATAATACTGCATTTGGAACTAATTTAATTTCAGCCTAATGAAACTTTTTTTAAAAAAAAATCACAATCAACCTGATAAAGACAACCTGAAGAGTGAAAAAGAAAATCAGACATACACGCAGAGATAATAAATTCAGGTTTAAGTAAAAGCCCTAACATTTGGTGGAAATTTCAAGGGTAGAACTCACACACAAATCATAAATGACATTGATGGTTGTCTTGAAAATCCACAAAGAGGTGCAGGATGGGTCAATTTGGTCCCATCCCAACAACTGCTTTGCTACAAATAGGACAGCTGGGGTTGAAAAAGCCACAACCCAAGTTGCAAACCACAGGAATCTGCAGTGCCCATTAATATCTGACAGATGATACAAACATCAAGAGAGAGAAACTCAAAAGCCAAAGTTCTAGAGAGAGAAAGAGGGGCACAAATTAAAGTAAAGGTTCAATTTTTACACCATTTTATCTAACCCAAATGAAAATTAAAATAAAAGAAATTGAGAAAACAGTGATATGAGTGTCCCAAGATGAAATTGTGATGAGGGGTGTCATGATTTGTGGTCAATTGTGAAATATTGAAGTCATCACCTTCAACTTTCTTCTGCAATGCTTCAATCTTTTTAGCTGCTGGCTTTCTTTCAGTTCTGAGGACTGTAAGAGGCACATCAACAAGAGTCAAATAATGTTGTCTCTGCGTATATACTGCACTGTACAACAACTGACATGTCCCTCTCTTCCTCTTATTTTGTTCCCTTTATTTAAATTCGCAACTTTTTCTAAAAATAATTTTATTTAAATATATTTTTTAGGATAAAATTAAATATGTTTTTAATTGTTACAAGCATTAAGGTTTTCACTTTAGTTTTTATAAAAATATTAATTATTTTTTAGAGCAAGTTTAATTTCTATGTATTACCTAAAAAGTTTTAAAATATTATTATCTTTTTTAACAACCAAATATTGTTATCTTAAATATTAAGATTTTATGTTTAAGTTTTATATTTGTAAGAATAATTAATTTTAATATTATTTTTTATTATTTATAAATTTGAGTAAAATTATCTAAAAATGTATGCATCAAATTAAGTTATCACCCTAATATATTAGTGGAGTAGATGTACTTCAAGTTTTTATATTATTTAATAAAAGTATATAAAATTATCAACATTTGTTATATTAATTAGTAATATGTTTAATTTTCAAATCTTAAAATTTCATATTTGAGTATTATGTGTATAAAGATAATTCTTTTTTAATATTATTTTTTATTATTTAAAGTTTTAAGAGGAAAATTGTCTAAAATATGTGTATAATAAATCAGACTATCACTTTTATATATATTAGTAGAATCAAGATATTTCGTACCTCTATATTTTATTGATAAAAGTGTTTAATATTATCATTTGTTAAATCAATTGTATTTGATCTTTAAACCTTAAAATTTTATATTTGAGTCTTGTATTTATAAAAATAATTAATTTTTAATATTATTTTTTATTATTTAAAAATGTAAAGGTAAAATCGTCTAAAAAAAAATGTGTATCAAATCAAACAATCACATTTATAGATATTATAGATAACATAATTACATTTTTAATAATTTAATGAAGGATTAAATTCTTTTTGTTTTTTTCTCTCTATCGTGCTATAAGATTCCAATGCATATATCATATTTAAAAGAAGGGGGAAATTAATATTCAAATGCATATATCGTATTTAAAAGAAGGGAGAAATCGAATAAGTGATGATTTCAATTTTGGTGTAAGAGTTTCAAACTAACAAAATTTTTTGAGAAGTTTTAACTACATCTTTTATCTGATTTTTTTATTTTTAGCTTTAACTGCATATTTTATCTGATTTTTTTTTTTTATAGTTTACGGTTAAAAATGTTTTTCGTTCTTAAAAAAATAGCATTTTAACTTGTAGAATACACAAACATATTTATTATATACAACTAAAATTTATAAAAAAAATTATATATAAATAAATATTATATTAGAATATATAAATTATATTTAAAATTAATTTACATAAATATTTTTAGACACATAAATTATATTTTAAATTTATAATAAATAATTGATATTGTAACTTATTTTTTATTGATAATTTATTTGAAAATATAAATATTTTATTCATGAATAATTATTATAAATAAAAATTAAATTAAATAAGAAGTTAAAAAAAATTCTTACAAACTTCCTCGTTAAAGAAAAGTCCCTAAAAACATCTCTCATAAAATAGATGTTTGTGCTTAATATATAAGAGTTAATTAGTTAATATTGATTTTGGTTCTATAAAACTTTTTTTTTGTGTTTTTTGTTCCTCTAAAATTGAAACTATTGTTTTATTCCCCTATTTTTTATGCAACTATTTTTAACTATTTTTTGTTTATTAAAAAATTAAGTGACTACATTAAGTGTTATTCACGATTCTTGGTAATATCATGTCTATGTTTAATACATCTATCGGATAAAAAATGTAAATAAAATTTTAAAAATGTTAAAAGAATAATTACAAATATTTTTTATGTTACCCTGAACTTTGACTATGGTAGGGACAATTAGCTAATTTACAATGACCACATCTCTTTAACATACAATTTTTGCAAAGGTTCACTTTTGTATATATACATGTAGAGTGTGGTCGACTTGACTTTTGTCTTTGCATATTTTTGTCATGGATGACTAGTTCACCATATTTTGGCCAATATGTTTGGTATTCAACAATGCATCAAATGGTTCGTTGTACATATTTAGTATTTTTGTGAGGTTATACACTAGATATACATATGATTTGTAGTTGTGATGGACATGTGCACAAGCTTCAATGATGTGCAAACAAGATATGTGTAGTTCTTAGAATTCACACATCCATTGTGTTGGGTTGAACCTGAAATTACTAGTACATCACCCCTCCAATAGGTTCACCCATTTCTCTACCAAGAATTTTCTAATTGTTGATCGAATTGACAGAAAAAGTGCAAGATCACTACAAAAAGTGTAACATTCAGTGATATACAAAAATTGTCACTATAGATATAATATATGTAGGTATATATTTATTTGACATATAGCTACACACAGTTTAAGTGTTGATTTTGAATATGATATAACAACATATTTTACATATCACTATAACCTATACCAACACTTTTTAACAATATACCAACATATATTATATTTAGTGTGTAAATAAAAGTACTTTTTAGTGACACGTATTGTGCCACTATAGGACGTGTGTCACTATGTGGCAATTTTCTTGTAGTGGATTGACCTTTGTTGTTTCACTGTTGTGATCTTGTTAAGTATTTATGTACACTTATGGTTAGAGGCAATCACTATTACAACTTTGGTCCCCATTTTTTGAATTAATTCAAATAACCTAAAGTATGATTTTGACTAATGTAGTCATTGGGGGATTTTGTGTACCTTTTAAGGCTCCATTAATAGCCTCTATAAGATTTATGTTTATTTGTCCCTAGAACCATCAAAGTGACTCATAATTTGTGGACCAACCTGACCAACCATAGGTTTGAATTGGGTTGGACTGAAAAAAATTTGCTTAGTTATTTGAAAATTTCAACTTGACCCGCTTAGAACTCAGCTCACCTAAGTTGAACTCTTAGTGAGTCGGGTTGGCTCACAAGTTACATATGTAACATTGTGTGTTTTAAGCTTTTATTGCATGATGTTATGTTTTATGATTTGTGGTGTTTGTGTTGTCATGTTGTTATTGTGTGTTTGTTAAAGCTCTAAGGGTTAAGAAATACTTAGAATCTAAGTTGTTTGAAATTGGTTTAGTTGAGGGCAAAGTTGACCAAGAATGGAGGGAAGGTATATAAGATTTTCAAAGAACTTGAACTTCATTAGTTCATTTCCCTTAATTCTAAAGAGAAGTTTTATGTCTCAAATATATAAGTTTTGGAGCTAAGAAATACATTTTCTTCTTCTAAATTCATCAAGAGCATTCAGATGTTTTCCTAAAAACTGTGATTAAGTGGTAGAAGCTTGGATTCTAACTAAGGAGCTTGGGATCTTAGAGAGAAGTTAACCTTTGAGGGTTTGTTGGTTTTGTTCTTTCTCATTTTCTTCTTACCCTAAAAAGAAATCAAGGTAAGGAAAGTTTGTTATTTGATTCATTATGTTTCTTTTACATTGTTGTTGATTTTTTTTAACCAATTGGTGGCCTAGTTGTTGAGAATTGATGTTGTTTATCTAAGTAGTAAAGTTGGGGTTTTATGAGAAAGGAAGGTTAAGACCCAAGGAAATGAAATTATGATGATTATTGTATTGGATATGGTATTTTAAGTTGAATTCTTGATGTTTAAGATGTTTAGACATATTTTGAGGGATTTCATATGGTGAATCCTAACTATGGTGGCTCAATTTGATGAAAGAAGGTGAATTTCTATGGAATAAATTCATATTCTTATTTAGCAAGAATGCATACTCACTAGCAGGAATTCATAATTGATTAGCCTTTGCGTAGATTTATATCCTCACTTAATGGTGTGATTGTCGCCTAGAGAGAAAATGAATTTGTGGTGACTCTTTTGAGAGCTCGTCCAATGAAACATAACACGCCTAGTGAGAGAACCCACGTGGAGTATGACAAATTACATTCCAAATGAGTGCACATGGGTGTGTGACAGGGTTTGGCTCCAAAATTTGAATTTTGAATTCAAATTTTGGGCGCCTAAGGTTAAGTAAACCATACCGTGGTTTCACTTAACCTTAGGCTAACCCATTGTATACCTAAACCTAATTTTGCCTATAAATTCTAGATGGCCGAGATTTGTAAACACTTTTGGATTAATTGAATGAGTTTTCACCATTTGAAACCTCTCCCTCTGAAAGTCTCTCTCAACCTACGTCTACCCTTCTTGAGCTCCTCTCTTTGTAGAGCTAGGTTGCTACTCTTCTATCCGGACTTAGCTTGATCAAGTCTAGGTCACATTGCTTCTTCTTGGAGCTTCCTTCCTTGCAAGACTTCCAAGGAACCGAGAAAAATTAGAAGGTGTTCTTTGAGGATTCACCAAGTGGAACCTCATCAAGTGGTATCTAGAGCTTCGGTCTTCAAGAGATAAGCTCTTATTTCTTGTCTTTTGAATTGTATGATCCGTGTTCATCCTTGTTCATCTTTGTGTTCATGTCATTTTAGAGTTGATTCCTTCCTAGATCTATTTTCTTGTCTTAAAATTAATGGATCTAGTTTCGGTTTTTGCTTGAATGATTCATACGTGCATTTCATCTTGAATTGCTTTTCATGAATCATGCTCCATCTCTTATGCTTTTAGGAAATTTCTGCCTATGAACATTTTGTT